GGATCATAGTCTGCGTCATCACACTGCCGTGACATCATGTTGATAGAGAGCCTTTTGGTTCCAGTGTGGTGACTGGAAAAAAGACAGGTTACAGGAGAACAATGCTATTTGATACCAATCATATTTAGGCACGAAGTGTAAATAAACAAACCTTAAAATACCGATTTACTTATGCGTGGAGTATTGATCCCCCCATAATCTATGAATTCTTATAGAAACAATGAAATGCATTTAATTATTTGAAAACACTAAATGAATCTCTGGATAACTTTTGGAAAACAAGTCACAAATACATCTATCCTTCGTCTCCCTATTGCCTCTCCTCTCTACTGCTCCCTTGCTAGATTTTATGCCAGAGGAAGAGCCACAGCCTCTGAACAAATCTGACTTTGCCTGAGGCTCTCTGGGTCCTCCCTGGAGCCAGTCTTGGCCCTTTAGAATTCATCCACTTAGGGGATACTTACCCAGCAAATGTTCTATTCCAGGCACAGCTCCGGCCATAGCCTCTAGCCCTGTCCTCACTCCTATCTTCTCTACTCTTTGCTAAACAGCATCTCTCTTCCCTTGGGAGGTTCAGCCTCCTGTCGTCTATGTGGCAGGGAGGACGGAGAAGAACTCAAGCTGAAAGTTGTTGAGCATTCACTGGTACATCAAATGCTCCCAATATAACCACGTGATGATTTCATAGGAGAGGAAACATCTTAGGAAAGTGCCGACTGGCTTATTTTCTATCAGAATAAAAACAAACAAACAAACGTCAGACAGCATCAACTTCCAGAGTGAAAAGAGTTGTGCGGGCTCAGGGTTTGAATTCCTTCAAGTCAGTGAGCAGGCAGATAGATCATCCCTTTCAGTCCTCTGTGGGAGGTGTCAGATGGTGGTGACTAGGAGAGCATCAGGGTCTCACTGTCCCTTCAATGACAGACACTCCAGTGATGGAGAGACCACCTACTGGGTACCAACCCTTAAAGGTTCCACTGCCTCCCAGATGTGCCACACTGGGACAAAATCTTCAACATTTGAGCTCTCAGGGAAACATTTAAAAGCTAAACTGAAACAAAAATACTAAGTAACTTCTTCAGGGTCACTGGGGTGCTTTAAATGATAAATGTCACCCATAGCCTCTTGTATTTGAGCCCTTTGTCACCAGTTAGTGGCACTTTTTGGAGAGGTTATGGGGAGGTGTGTCTTTGTTGGAGGAAGTGCATCCCTGGGAGTGGGCTTGGAAAATTTACGGCCATTCTTCACCTCTACTTCATTCTCTACTTCATACTTGTGGCTGAGGCTGTGTTCTCTCAGCTTCCTGTTCCTGCTGCCAGGCTTCCCCGCTGCAATAGACTCTCATCCCGAGAGAACCGTAAGCCAAAATAAACTCTGTCTTCCATAAATGACTTTGGTCGTGGTGTCTTATCTCGGCAACAGAACTGTAACTAATACAGTCAAATAGCAATGAAAGGGCAGAGCACGCCCCAAGGCAAACCCCATGGTGCCATCTTACCACTTTAAATGAGCATAAAAGTTCAATTTCTTTATTCCACGTCCAGTTTTGAGTAGCCTCCAATTCAATAAAACATCCAGAAGCAGGCGCTCACCAGAATTTCTAGACCCTTTGACTTTAAGGATTATAGTGGTTGGGGGTTCGAACAACTTCTTGTTTCTACAGAAATGGAACACTGGTAGGAGACATCTACACTTTGCTTCCTCCATCTTTCACTGGTCCTTGCCTATCAGATGTATTTTATGACGTTTCAGAGATCATCTCCACACACAGGGGATCCCCGAGCTGGGGTGGGGGACACAGATACCTACTACTGTATTCAGATACAGCTGGACAATTGGTTGCCATCTTATTTCTCACAGGTCTCCTTTTCCCTCTCCTTCATTGTCTCAAGTTCTTTCCCAGCTCAAAACACTGAACCTTCTCTTCTCAAGGGTGAATATTCTTCTGACTGGTCTGACATATCCCTCTTCCCATGGCTGACCTCGGGGTGAGAAGGAAACAGATAACTTTGTGAACTTACATCCTCTAGTGGGAGATGATGTGGCCTGTCGCAGAGATGAATTTAGATCAAAATACTATTGTCCTTTGGGGTATCTAGATATCTCTATTTCCTCTACACTCTCTTCTACCTCTTCAGTGCTCTGAATATGAACCCACTGTAACTGCAGGACCAGCTTTCTCCGTGAACATAAAGGCAAACTCACCCTGCCTTCCCGAGTTTGGTTTTTCAAATGGGCATTGGCCTCCTCTCAATACAATGAGCCACTGAGTTTTGTCTCTTTAACTTGGTAGAGACTTCACCCCCTCCTGATGGGAAGACTGCTCAGAGTTCCCGGTTCCACAGCAGTCCCTTCCATTGCACAAGTCCAGCTGATTGCTTGTCAGAATGACACAAGAAGGAACTGAAGTCAGAGCATGACCCAGTTACAATGTTTGTCTGCTGTCCCATGGAGAAAACCAAAGCCCGGATCCGATAACAGAGGCGAGGGCGATCAGGAGATAGAAACTGACCTGAATTCTGAATAGCAAGCAGAGAGAAGGAAGCAGGAGAGCAAACTGGCTCTCTTCCAAAACCTGCTCATTGTGTGAATTCCTAGAAGCTGTGTGACACTGAGAAACAGGCTCACCCAAGGGATTACATCACAGAGCTTTGAAGAGGCGGTAACGCAAACCCACCTAGCAGCTTGGCTTCTGAGGTCAGAGGCCAGCCTCAGTGGGTCAAGCTGTCTTTGTTTTCCTGCTGCTATGATTGGTCCTGGTGCCTGTTAAACTCTTTATGAAGACAGCAAAAGTTGAATGGATGTCTTCATCCTTCAACATGCTAAACATCCTTCATCCTAAACAGCAACAGCAGCACGAGACTCACCCAACGTAGTTAGCCTCATACATTGGCCAGCTTTTCTCTCAATACAATGGCTTTCAATATTCTAGTGGCCTGGCTTAGGTGTCTGTTCACATCTCAAGGGATAGGAAGCATAGGATATTTTGAAGAATTAAACTGGATTGTGTGGAGGAAAGGCAGAAAATCGCTTACTGGATTCTACCATCTTGCTTCAGGCAGGACAAACACAGCAGGAACAAAGCCAGACAGAGCCATGCCTAGTGGCTCATGCCTGTAATCCCAGCTCTTCAGAGATTGAGGCAGAATGACTACAGCAAGTCCAAGCCCAGCTTGGACTACACTGTGAGTCCCAGGTAAGCCTAGGCTACAGAATGAGAACTTGTTTCAAAGTGAAAGCAAAAATCAATAAAAATACATATACAGTAACTTTCTCCCCAGAAAGACACAGTCTTCATTATAAAGACACAGGGGAGTTATAAGGACTGAGATCCATAGTTAAGGCTCTTCTCTGCAGGAAAAAATATGTACTTTAGGTCACCTTGAAGTATGAAAGAAGGGATCATAGCATTTAATGGCTGAAATACTTATGTTTGTCTCAGGGACAGAACAACACAGAGGGACCCACCCAACGCACCCATATAACACTGAGTCATGAAGCTCATTGGTCTGAAACACCAGACTGAAATATCAAGCTCTCTTAGTTAACACACCTGAGTATTCTCTAACCTCAAACAAGCCCTTATGGTTTATGATTTGATGCTGTCAGAAATCGAAGCTTACTTCACATCCAAGATTTACAAGAGCAAGACCATGTTAAAAATGCCCTGTAAATTATCTGTGACAATCTGCCAGCTGCAGAGATTAGAGGTCTGAAGGGGGTATTTATTTGGCACTGGAGAGTTACTGTGGATGATAAGAAGTGAAAATGGGGTAGCAGAGCAAACGTGGAGTGAGTTCCAGGCTCCCGATAAGATCCAGGACAAGACCACCTCTCTAGACCTTTGTTCTTCATATCTAAAGTACACCCTTCAGGCTCAGGCTCTTTAACCCTATGAAGAACAAAAAAACATGACCTATACAAATAGATACTGTGTATGTGATGCAGAGAAGACCTATATAGAGAATCTATTTCATTTAAAAAATGTCATTAAGACTGAAAAACACCAGACGGGCAGTGGTGGCACACGCCTTTAATACAGCACTTGGGAGGCAGAGGCAGACAGATCTCTGTGAGTTTAAGGCCAGCCTGGTCAACAGAGCAAGTTCCAGGACAGCCAAGGTTACACAGAGAAAGCTTGTGTCAAATAATAATAATAATAATAATAGTAATAGTAATAATAATAATAATAATAATAGTGAGAAACAGATAACCAACACTTATTCAAAGCATGTATGCAGCTGTGGCTCAGTGGCAGAACTTTTGCCTGGCATGCCCAAAGCCCGAAATTCAATTCCCATGACTGGAGTCAATTAAATCATTAACCTTTAAAGATATATGTGTCAGGCCCTGATTATAAGCCTTCTCACCACGGGTTTTTTAATTTGTAACAATCTAATGATGAAGGTAGCATTATAATTCCCCTTTGTTTCTTTGGTATCATGTGTTGCTTTCAAACACATGTGGAAAACCAAGGTTTAGAAAGTGCTTGCATTTGCCCAAAGCACTAAAGGTAGGGACTAGAAGTAGGCCGGGTATTAGGTATTAGCGATTTAGTTCCTCATGAGGGCTGCCTTTTGAGAAGCAGCTTGGTAGCCTCTGTGGCTGGTCTCAACAAACCCTGCTGGGAGGAATGCACACTGAGTCTGAGTCTGTGCAGCAGCAGCTTCATGGACCTATCCCACAGGAGGGATTTCTTACAGGCAAGTTGGCCATTGTCTTGCGGCTCACTCTAAGTCACACAAAACCACCGCCCAGTTGAGACCTGGAGAACAGACACAGCTCAGACATCACCTCACTGCTCCGTGACTCAGCTGATGGCTGACCTTCAGCGCACGATATTAGAGCATACCAGTGTTCTGACCTCGTGTTTGCTCACGACTCAAGGGCTACACATCTCTGAGATAGGACTGAAAGTGTTTAAAGAGATTAGATGCCGCTGAATTTAACAGCACGTGGGTGCCCAGAGGAGAAGCTCCCTGGCTTCTCCTTGCCGCGGTTGAGGCAATAGACATAGCTTCATGCTCTTTGTCTATAGCAATCCGTGTCGCCCTTTGCAGAGACCACTACTCAGCTAAAGCTGGATCTGCGACTTTGCCATTTGAAAGAATTTTATAATGTTCCAGAATGAATAAGAGCTGGAGTTTCTCAAAGGGTTTGAAATGTAGACCTAGGTACGAGGATTAGTAGAAAGGGGGAAAAGTAGGTTTCTCCCTACAGTGTGGGTATGAGCTTCTGCAGGGAGGGGCACACGTCAGCGTGTTTACAGTGGCCGTACCTACCATTTTGGTGAGTTCTTAAGCTATCATCTTCAAAAGGTTCCTAAGGTATTTAAATGAGAGCACGGAAGGGTTCCCGAATGGCACCTGACAGGATTACAATTGATCAGGCAAAAATCTATAGCACTGGGAAGGATATCTTTCTGTAAAGAAAAATTAAGTTTGTTTCCGAGGTCTTTAGAAGTATCTGGGAAAGGGATAAAGCCCTACCCAAAGGCTGTAAATACCCACGCCTTAGCCCGGCTTATTGCAAGTTTAGTGTTCTTATGTGAAAATATTTCTGCAGAGAAATATGTGGTCTCCATGGTGTCAGTCTTCACAGAAAATATTTAGTGAGCTGCAGTTCTGAATGATCAGCTTGGATCCACTAGACTTGAGAGTGAGGGACACCTTTCCCCCTAATGTACCTGTATTTTCTCTATCTTTTTTCTTCTGCTCCAGATTCCCACCCAGAAACCAGCTGATTTGGTGGAGGTGAAATCAAGATGGAGCCACGGAGAAGTATTAAAAGAAAGGTAAGGACTCTTGGAGTTGGGCTGATGTTACAGTCCTTTCAATAATTTGTTTACTCATGGGATGCTTTCTGAGTTCTGTGCTCAGTTCTGTGGAGAACAAGCTATGTGTGAGAAGCTGACTATGTCAGCACTTAGCACCCTCGCTAGTGTCTCCAGGAAATCCTGCAAGTTCTGCTATGCCTCTTTCTTTGGAACCAGAACACCAAATTCAAGTAAAATCCCCTTTCTTCTTATTTGAGTCACATAACCACTCAGAACCTGTTTCCCCGTGTGTAGCCCAAGAGGGATCTCTTCAACCTCTGTGTCTCAATCCTAGGATTAAATAAAAGCCCTCATGGGTAAGTCATTCTTATAAGTTCACACAAGGGAACACAAATTCATTGGGCATATTTTTGGCCTCCATGATCAAATTTTCCTTCTCTTCCCATATTACAAAATTTTACTCCACAGCTTTCCAGACATGCCTGTGCATTTAAAATAGTTGATTCCTTAAATGAACCAATGCCTTTGTTTTATTTAAAACAAGACATGCTCCATTATGGTGGGTTTTTCAAGATGTGAAGCTTGAGAATTTCTAAGTCATCTGTGGCTCTGTGTGCTCCAAATTAAACACTGAAGGGATCCTCTCACCAAAATGGAAGCTTCAAGCCAGGGTGAGACAAAGGAAATGAATGTCCCATATCTTCATCAGTTTGAGAAGCAAGCAAGGCCACCTCAGGACTCTTTGCAGAAGGCCTCTGGTTGCTCCAACAGGAGCAGATTTGTGAGACAGCTCCAGAGTTTCTTACCTTTCTTGATAAACTAGACAGCCCTCAATGTGTCACCCAGGTTGACTCAGTTCTGGGTGACACCAAGAACAGGCACGGAGCACGTCCATCTGAATGTGACAAGCCCTGTGTCAGGTAGGCTTGGTTTAATTGACTTTGCATTGTGTCAGTCAGTGTGTAGATGTGGATATTCGCTGATGGTCAAAGCAAGCTGAAGTTTCCAGAGCTGCTGGCCTCTCTACTGGCCTTCCCACTCCCTTGATCCTCTTCTAAACCCCCTTTCCCTCTTCTGTTTAATTATCTCCTGCCCATCCTTCTTTGATGACCCACAGCCTACATTCATTAAACATCCACTAGTCTTTCAGACGCGAAGGTAAGGATCCCTCTCAACCAAGAAGCCTCAGATTAATGTCCAGAGAAGCAGCCTTCCTCCATTCTACAGAGGCAGAGGAGTAGCCACAGTGTCTCAGAATTTCTGGACTTGCCAGATACTTACACCACTGGCAGGTCTGGACTGCAAGATCCATGTGGTTTTCAGGAATCTCCACATTTGACACACTTCCCAAGGGATTCATGTGACTTAGTAAGTTGAGAAATAGATGCAATCTTTATTATTTTGACATTGTCGCTTATATTTGTATCTCTCCAAGCAAACAATACTGTTGAGCTATTGGTTCAGTGATGACTAGAAAGCATTAGACATAACAGAGTAGTAAGATCCTCACCCATAGGAAATGGAGAATGGACTTTGGGAGCTGCACACCTCAGACTTTCACTAGATCTTTTAACTAGAAAGGTACTTTGGGGAAACTCAGAACCATGAGGATAGATTTTCACTGTTGACCTTGGAAAAATAGAGAGAAGATTGGCATCCAAGGGTCTCCTGCCTTCTTTATTTGAAGACACAATTGAGAAAGTTAAGTTTTGTAAAGATAAGTGCTTCCACATGACAGGTATCTGACATAGGATACGCTCTCAGGGAAACAAACAGAATGAATGTCACATTCAGTAATGGGAACAGCTGAAGCATCTTCTCTTTACCTCTGTTTCCATCTTCCTGTCTGTGTGATGTTGAGAAGACAATAAATGGAATTCTAAGACTTGGGTGGAGACTCTGACTGGACAATCATGGTGAGACGTTTGGCTGCAGAAGTGTGATTGTCTGCAGGACATGGGTTATCTGGGATGTGCTTGCTGTATCTTAACTTTCTGTTATACTGGTCATATAGTATGTGGTACTCCTATATGTGGGGCAATTACTGTTCAGAGAATATACGTGTGTGTGTGTGTGTGTGTGTGTGTGTGTGATGTCCAGCTACAACAATTTAATCAGAGAACTACAGTCTGTCCTAGGAGTTGAAGAGAGGTGAGCTATGGCTGCATTTCTCTTCTTAGATTGTCTAGCTTTCTACCCTATGGGACACAATTGTCATTGATCTATTTTCATTTCTTTTAGGAACAATTGGCACCAAAGTTCTGCAAAATACAAACGTGTATTGACTCTGGGGTCTCAACATATGCATGTTTGGTATGTAAGAGAATTAGAGAATGAACTCTCTGAGGAGTCAGTCATGCCTCTAATCTTAGCGCGAGGGAGGCTGAGGATGCTAGTTTCAGGCCAGGCTGAACTACACAGTGAGTCCCAGACATTCCGTCATTATAACTGGGACCTGGCTCAAAACCATATGAGCAAACTAGCAACCCCCAAACAAAGCTGTGTCATTTTTAGAAGGCCAGGTGATAGGATTATCCCCAGGTTCTTCCTGTATAAAACTGAATGCACTGTTTCCCATCATCTGCCAGGTCCTTCGTAGGTCAGCCTGAAAGCACTCTCAGAAGATAAGAATTTGATGTGCTCAGTGCCTTGAGACCTTTGAGAAGAATCTCACATATATAAGAACAGAGGAAATTCATATGGGATTGTAAATATGTTCCAAACTCATAGCTAAGGAAGTCGTAAGCTCCAGGGGAGAACCTGCTGATGTTGTTAAACTGACTTCTATGTAGTCACGTTTCTCTCCATAGATTGGTGCTGCTCCCAACCTTGATTGGTGGAGCTTCGTATTGCAGTGATTTAATACTAAATAATAATAGTAATAATCACAGAGATTTATTACATTCAGAGTGCTGAAATTCAGTAACCGTGAGTGCTCAGTGGGTCCTATGTTACCCCAATACCCAAATCAGGGGGCATCAAAGAGGGGTAGGAAGAATGTAAAAGCAAGAGCTCAGAAGAGAGGGATATGAAATGCTTTTTGTGAGTGTAACATGACTGTGGCATACATGATCCCATAGCCTCTGGGACTGCCTGCAGAGGATCAAGCCAGTTAAGAATTCTAGCAAAGGTGCTGCCAAGATGGCACAGTTGTTTAGAAAACCTCTTTCTCCTGCAGAGGACCGAGTGCCAGTTCCTAGCATCCACACAGAGTCTTGTAGCCACCCGTAACTTCAGTCCAGGGGCTGTGATGCTCTCTTCTAATCTCTGAGGACAATAGGCATGTGAGTGGTGCCCACACATACACGCAGCAAAGCATTCCACCCCTAGCTGAGGAACTTGTCCTTAGTTGATGACTGGTAGAGGAGCAAAATCGTTCTTTGGGAGACATCATCACTGGTAGGCTGCCCATTCCCCAGTGGATGACCAACTCCCATGTATATACATAGGTATCACCGGCTGGACTCAGTTGATTAAAAAGGTTCAATAAGAAAATAAGTACATAAATAATTGTAAAGGAGGGTGTTGAGGCTGCGAAAGGATGTTCTTGAGGGAAGGTAGGGGAGGAGGGGGAAGGGGTGGGTGGATATGACCAAGACAATCGTACACACATTTGAAAATGCTGAAGAATAAATGAAAATATTATTAAAAGCAATAACAGAGAATGAAGGCCTGTTTTCAAAATGCAAATGTGGAAAGTTAAGCAATCAGTGCAAAGAAAGCAAGCTGCTTTAGCAGGAAACAAGAGTGGTTTGTTTGCTTTTCTCACAGTACGCATGGCGAGGTCCCGTGGCCACACAGCATGTTGTGTGCATGAGTTATTACCCTCTCAGTTGTCCGTTTGCCGACACACGCAGCAAGCGTGTGTTCAGCAGAGGCAGAGTTCAACTGGCTCTCTCGCCTGCACATTTGAGTGTCTGAGTGCCAGGCTTGCTCGTCACTAAAGTTTTACCTTCTGTAAAGGAGCAGTTCTTTTGAGTTTTCAATTTAGTGTCTCACAAGGTCAGATGCTATGATTTTGGCTGACACACAGCAGGTCTTATGGGTAACACACCTGCCTTTGCTCAACAGAGTCCCTGAACGACTCCAATGGCCATAGCATGAAGTCCCCACTTGAGGCTCGCCTCAAGCCCCTTGTCATTTGATGCATCCAAGTCCTTCCTTTGTAGCTCTTCCATATGTCTGGGTGACAAGTAGAACATGGACTTCACAGGCGAGCCTGCTAAATCCTGGTGAATTGGTGTAATGAGATGTTAACGACAAAGCTGTGAGACACAGGCAACTCAAGTTGAACCAAAATTCCAACACGCACTGGCTCTGAGACCTTCACCAAGTTTTCCAAGCTTTCTAAGAAGGTGATAATAACTGCTTTGCAGAATTATCTCAAAGGTAAAAGGAGATAAGTTACGAAGACTGATCTAAAAATAAATCAAGATTTGCTCTAGAGTCTCCATTGGAATGGCACGAACCTTCTTCCTGCACATCCAGCATCTACTAAAGCTCCCACAGTGCAGCTCCCATAAGCCACACTGACCTTGGAAGGTTCAAATGCACCTGTTCTCTCAGATGGACTCTTTCTTACCACCCATATCACATTTTATCATTTATTGAAGGTCATTATATTCTTGTAACCCCAACTGACAAGTAAACATCTTATTAATGGATTTTTCTGCCCAAAGCAGGATGCAGTTGATTGACCATGTGATATGATGTGTAAAAAGGGAAGAATAAATTAAATGAAGTGAGCGAGTGAATATGAAGTGAAATAATAAATATACCAAGGGCTAATGAGCACAAGTTCACATACATGTTACTCTAAGAAGAAGTTTACTGGGCTAGGGAGATGGCTCGGTGGTTAAGAGTGTTTGCTGCTCCTTCAGAGAATCTGAATTCAATTTCCAGAAACCATTTTGGGCAGTTCACAGCTGCCTGTGACTCTAGCTCCTTGGACTATAATGCCCACTTCTAGCCTTCCTCAGTGAGTATACAAACACACACATAAATAATAATAATAATACTAAAGGAAAGAATATTTATTGAGAACAGGACTAGGAATACATAATACAGTAGTATGGCACTTGCCTAGCATGTATAAGGCCTTGGGTTCTGTTTCATCATCACACACACACACACACACACACACACACACACACACAGAGACACAAGTACTCATGCACACACACAAGTTTAAAAAAATGATTCTCTAGTGAGGACAATGAGCCAGACTACATAAAGATTATATAAACCAGTAAGGAAAAATCATTCATGACAAGGATGCAGGGGAAAAACCTTCACCTAGTACTCACTGGGATACAGTTGATGACTTTATGTAGAAACCGCCTCGGTACTTTTCTAAAGAGCCCTTGAGATCTTGTTATGCTTTTCATTTTTCAGATAAGAAGGTAGAGGCCCAAAGAAGCTCTCATGACATGCCCAATGCTGTATAACCTGAATAGCCAGGAATTACAGCCAAGTCTAGCTCTGTTTGGTGTTGACTCTTTGCTGATTCTCCAACTTGACAAACCTTTCTGTACCGAAGAACAAAAAATTCTTATCTCTCTTTGCAGAAGAGAGACCATAGATATCTTGTGACTCTAAACTTGGCTTCACAAGTTTGAGGCCAGCCTGGGCTATACAGTAAGACTCTGTTTCCTTTCAGCAAATCTTTTTAAATATTTCTATTTTTTTCTTTAAGGCCCTCATCTGTTTAAATGTGAGAGTTACATACACCTCAAAGAAGTGTGGGACCCAGGCTGTGTCCTCTCTGCTCATAAGCTAGCATGAGGCAATCATGCCTTTACTACCACTTTTTATGATTTTATTGAGCTATACATTTTGCTCTGCTCCTTTCCCCTCCTACTCCCTCCCCTCCCTTCTTCTCCCCTCCTCTTCTACTCACTCCCTTGGTCCCCATGCTCCCAATTTACTCAGGAGATCCTGTGTTGAAATAGGAGCGGCGGCGGGGCTGTTTCCCCAACACCCCGGCTGCTTGGCTAGCTTATGCCCGAAATAACAACACACAAACTGTATTCATTTAAAGAACTGCTTGGCCCATGAACTCTAGCCCTTACAGGCTAATTCTCGCACCTGGACTAGCCCATTTCTAATGATGTGTGTAAGCACCCCAAGGTGCGCTTACCGGGAAGAGTCTAGCCTAAGTCCATCCGGGATTGGAGGAGCTTCATTGCGTGCATCTGCCTGGGAGAGCTGAGCATGGCGTCTCTGCTCCAGCAGAGCTGTCGGGTCTCTCCGGGAGCAGAGCAGAGTCTGACCTCACTTCCTCTTCCGCCCAGAATTCTATTCTGTTTACTCCTCCCATCTATGTTCCAAGCCATGAGGCCAAGCAGCTGGTTTATTATAACTTAACCAATGAAATCAACAGATTGATATATGACACTCCCACATCAATCCTGTCTTTTTCCATTTCCCATGTAGATTCACATGTGTCTCTCTTAGGGTCCTCATTGTTGTCTAGGTTCTCTGGGATTGTGATTTGTAGGCTGGTTTTCTTTGCTTTATGTCTAAAAACCAAAGGATGCTCAATTGTACCACGAGGACATGTGGTCAGCTCTGTTCATAGCAGTGTTGTTTGTCATAGCCAGAACCTGGAAACAACCTAAATGCCCCTTGACTGAAGAATGGATAAGGAAAATATGAGACATTTACACTATGGAGTACTACACAGCAGAAAAAAATAATAACATCTTGAAATTTGCAGGCAAATGGATGGATCTAGAAAACATCATATTGAGTGAGGTAGCCCAGACCCAGAAAGACAAATATCATATATACTCACTCATAAATGTTTTTTACCATTTATTCCATCCTTGATGAACGGGAGCTGGTATAGGACCAAGGTAATAAGCTCAAGTGAAAGCCAAAATAATGCTTTTATATTAGGGATCTGTCACAATGAATACAACACTGACTAATATCAACATTTATCTATAGCTTGAAACTCAAAGAGATTCTAGCACGCACTACTGGAGGGTTGCTATGCTCAGCTGCATTGAGTCTCCCTTTAATGTATAGGGCTTTCTGTATCTGCAGGAAGCAGGTTAAGAGACTAAAGTGTTTCTTGTCTTATGTTGTTTGAGAGGTTGTTTGGATGGCTGAGATAGGAAAGGTAGGGGTGTCAAGGAGGGGAATGGGATACATTAGTGGCCGATATGGAGCATTAAAAGGAGGTCATCTGGGGTTCTAAACTTTGGGATGCTACCTGTGAAGCCTTTACTAGCTTAGTTTGTCTTCCTCTTTGAGAGAAAGTTTCTGCCTTATCAGATCCAGACCAGACCAAAAGACAGGATTGTGGGTGCTGAAGCTGTCTCTCAGAATAACATTCTGCAACTCCACACAGCTCAGTAGCACCCCACCCCCCAGATCTGTTCTTGCCTAGAATTGCTTTTGGTGCTGTAAAAGCCAAATGAGAGGCTTTTAAATGATTTCCGTTGCCTAGGCAAGAGGATAGTATCCAGAGCAACAAAACCATCAAATTTTATTATGTGCTAGCTAGTGCTATATATTTCAAAGTTTTGCTTTAAAGGGTATCATTTAGAAAACTGGGGCTGCTTTTGATTGGCTCCCAAGTTTCTATTGTCAAAACATATTACCAGGAAAGTACAATACGCTGGAAAATTACAAGGAACAGCTCGGAAGCCCTATTTGGACTTTATTTATAAAAAAACAAATTAATAGCCAATGAATAAAACTTTTAAACCATTATCCGAGTAATAATACTAAACAAAACAACTAATAAAACAGCCGCATCCAAACAGCTGTTTAAGAAAAGGCCAATGATATTTCATCCATTGTCAAACTTGGCACTTGAGCAAAATAAGGACCAAAGTAAATATTTATTGAATCATGTGCGATTACTGAGAATTCCTCTTTTATAAAAAGAATAAGCAAATAAACCATGATTTATAAAAACCCTGGCTAGCTAACTCAGCTAATGGCTCTATTCAAAAAATTCTTATCATGTAAACTGTGAATTGACAATTATAATGGAAAATTACCCATTTCTCTATGAATTTAATATACATATAGTTAACCACCTGCTTGACTGTTACACAGAGTCATTTAAACGTGCAAATGGTTGTTCAAATGTTTGAAGGCTTTTGAACCAAAAGCATTAATTGGCAGTCTGTGTTAATGGAAACACACAGAATTATGCTCGCTTTTCTCTGTAATAACTATAAAAATTCTTTGGGCTTCCAACACTCTCTACTAAGCACATGAGGAGACTTTTACAGGAAAATCTCACTGGAGAGACAGACCCCTCAACCTGGACCAAACAGTTGAGGCGAAGAAGATAAGAAGACATTTGCAGGATAGGTATCAAGACACACATTCTTACTATATCAACTACTTATGAGCCTGAGCCAGGAGGCTGGTGGGGCTCAAGAGTTGAGGACCAGCCATGGCAATAAAGTGAGGTCTTGTCTCATAAAAAAAAAATTAGGGGTTGGGGTTTTGGTAAGTGGGTAAATTCAATGAGAACCTGAATTTAAATTCCCAGCACTTACAAAAATAACTAGGCATGGCCTCATGCATCTGTAACCACAGTGCTGGCTGGGTGAGAGACAGGTAAAATTGACAAATCCCTGGAGCACATTGGCCGGGCAATCTAGGCAATCATGAATTTCAGATTTGGTGAAGAAATACCATCACTACAAATAAAGTGGGAGAGAAAAGAAGACACCATACATTGACCATTGGCCCCCATGTGCATAGCCATTTGCACACACGTTCCCATCCACAGACAAGTGCATAATGAACAACAATAGCAGTAAAGTTGACAAATGGTCCATTTCTCCTAGCATGGCTCTACTTAAACAGAGCTCTTAATGATTCTTAATGGCCAATAGCCACAAGACAGACATTGAGAAGCCAGGCCAAGTTCAAAGTAAGCCTTGGGAGCACTTCAACGCTCAGTTCCTTCCTTTGACCCCAGGCAAGGGATCTTGTGCTTTATTTTAGTGGCCTCCGGACCTGGTAACTGCGTACACTTGTAGGTTATGGCCCGTCCTTATGATGCTTTTCCTCTTCAACACAATGCGTCGGCTCCTGGTCCTCTGTCCTGGGTTTTGGTGCTGTCTATAGAAATGTGATGGTATCTTGGTGTCTTCTTCCATTCCACCTCCTAGTGAGCTCTCTGGAACACGTAGTTTCTCCAAGGTTTATACTGGACCATCACAGTGCACATTAAAACTGAGAACTTTAGTGTCTACCATAGTGAACACTATCACTTATGAAACTGACCACCCTGGTGGCCACTATGACTGACCACAGTAAATACTGCAACTGGCCACCACAGTGAGCACTGTGGTGTTCACAATGACTGACCAGCACAGTGGACATCACAACTGGCCACCAGAGTGACCATTATGACTAATCATCACAGTGAACATTCCCGCTGGTAACCAGGGACTACAATAACTGACCATTGAACACTGCAGCTGACCGCCAGAGTGACCAGTATGGCTGGCCATCACAGTGAACCCTACTACTGAAAACCACAGTAACAACTACGACCTGCAATCACAGTGAACACTAAAACTGACCAGTACAGTAACAGCCACAGTAGCCACTACGGCTGACCATTACAGTGAACACAATTGACCATTTCTATAACCACTTATATTAT